GGCTGCAATGCTTGGTAAGAAATGTATGCATTATCCTGCCCATGTAATTGTAACCCCTCTGTACAGTATGTTCACAAATAAAATAAAATTAAATTAAAAAAAAAAAGAAAAAGAAAATGCCACATGCTGGTGGATCATGCTTGTAATCCTAGCTATTCAGGAGGCAGATGTCTGAGGATTGTGATTCAAAGCCAGTTAATGCAGGAGAAAGTTTATGGGACTCTTATCTCCAAATAATACTAAAAAATGATAGTGAAACTATGGATCAAGTGGTAGAGCACTACCCTTGAGCAAAAAATGCTCAAGTGAAGAGTTAAAACCCCAAGATAGGCACACACAAGAACTATAATGACAATTCCAATTATCTATTACTCAAACTCTATAAAGCTGCAAGATATAAATCACTTTTTGAGGATAGAAAACAAGCAAACATGTCTTAATTCTTCTCTGACATCTTTTCTTTATGCAGATGTAAATTTCTGACTGAGTTTTCTTCTTGAATAACACTTTTCTTTTTAAATTAGTATTTACAGTGTGTACAGAACAATGAGTTTCATTTTGAGATTTTCACATATAATCTACTTTGAATATATTACCAACACATACCCACACACACACACACACACCACTGAAGAATATTTCTTTTACAGCAAGTCTCTTTATACTCAATACTCCCTCTCTCCCTCTCTCTCCCTCTCTCTCTCTCTCTCTCTCTCTCTCTCTCTCTCTATATATATATATATATATATATATATATATGATAAATTATTTCTCATGTTTTAAGGACAATTTCACTGGTCATAGAAATCCAGGTTGAGTATTTTTTCTTCTTTCAATATTTAAAATATGTCACTCAATTCTCTTCCTGCTTCAGTTTTTTCCTCAACAAGTAGACCTTTGTAAAAATACTATCTTTCTGCAGTTTTAATGTTATAAATAGTATTATTGACATTTACTCTAATGTTTATTTTCTGAAATTCCTGGATATTTGATTTGAGACCTGTCACTAATTTTGGAAAATTCTTGTTCCAAATTATTTTCTTTCTGGTATTCAAACTATTCCTATGTTATACTTTTTGAAATTGTCTCACAGTTCTTCAGTGTTCTATTTTCTTATTCTTTTTTTTCTTTTTTGCATTTCAGTTTGAGAGTTTCTGTTGAATCTCTCAAGTTTACTGATTTTTTCCTCACTTTGTCCAGGGTATTAGTGTTTTGAATTTCTGCTTATATTGCCAATCTGTTTTTTCACATTGTCTATTTTACCTATTACAGCTGTTGACGTATGGTAAAGTGTGGAGAACGGAGAGTTTTCTATAATCTTCTGGTCAAATCCGTATATTTTGTGGAGACTGTGTAGTAGGAGTGTGACATTTACAAGTTTACAAGTTTTAATTTTTCATTCTCTCCCTTACATAAGACTGAAAACCTCGAGGGGCTACAGTAGGGAGAATGACTACACTATAGTAGCATTTTTCACTGCAGAGTAGGCTTTTATTGTGATGAAGGCTCTATGTATATTTTTCAAAAGTACACTTTCCTTCCCATTGTCACATCCCTGAGGGGGGTATTTCTGAAATTTCCTAGAGTTTCTCATTATCAAACTATTAGAGATTGTGTTTTCAGGAAATTGTCAAAAGTGCCATTCAAGTATGTTTTACCAGAATAGTGAAAATTGAAGTCTCTAGCAGTTACTGTCCTATGTAAACTAAGACAGTTTGTGACTGTGTGGACACGCACTTTCCTAGAATTTGAGATGAGCCTTTGCACCATGGCTTCAGTTCTCTGAAGGGTCTCTAAAAGCTGTTCTCAGTTCATTCTGATATTTTTCTGATATGAAGAAGAGAAGCAATGACTTCCTAGATCTTTATATCTAACAGCTGACCTTAGAAATGTGGCTATAGGTCTTAACAGGGCACCAAAGACCAGTGGACATAGCTTTTACCTTCTAATTTTCTGATGAATGTCACGCCTAGGAGCAAAGTTGCCCTTGAATGTCTACCTTCTCATAAATTTTATTCTTTCTTTCCCATCCCAGCATGGGGAATTTATATAGCTTCCTGAACCTGAAATCTTAGCCCCAACTTCTTAAATCTGAAGGACGAATTATAATTTAGACCTTCTAAAATCAAAATTCCTGAGCAAAATCAAAAGTCTGAGCAACTAGACCTTATTTGTGGAGACTTATCCTTGGAGAAAAAGTTACCTCTGTTATCATTACTATCAAGATTGCATGGTACAAACAAAATTCACACTTTGTATTCATTGCCTAATGATTGCTAAATGTTTTCTTAAACTAAAATGACTAGTATCTGAGCCCTTGAAGTATTTCATAAAGGGAAGCTGCATAGTACAGCGGAGAGTGTTCAGAATTTAAGCTAGGCAGTTGACAATTTAAGTACAGACTTTTTAATGTGATTATTTATGAAAATTTGGTAAATAGTGTTCTATGACCTAGTTTGTTCATCCTTAAGAGGAGACAGGTAATAAATACTTCACAAATTATTACACATATGGAAAACCTGCCTTACCTTCTGCACCACTGACATATATGTAGTCTTTCTAATTTGTTTTAAAATTCAGGTCTGTTCTTATTATGAGGTGTGCTTGGAAACAAGAAAAAAACAAATAAGCACTTCAATTGTAGTTTATAGGGCTCATAATTGCTGAGACTGTCATTGTGGTCTTCTATGTTGCTATAACTTCAGTGATTTGTATGCTGTTACCTACCATAACCCTTACTAAAGTAATATATTTTTCTCATAGATATGTCTCCTTCCTCCTTGAAGTAATGTGCCACAGCGTGTCTGACCCCAGCTGCAGGGGTGTTCTGGGGGAAATCTATCCACTTGGTACTCCTTGGTTCAACATAGGGAGGTGACCTAACTCAGCATAATGAAATATTACACAATTACAAACCATTTTGAAAAATTTTAAACAAAGATACAAAGATAGAGAGGGGAAAGGAGGAGAGAGACAGAGATAGAAGAAGAGACACAAAGAGAGGCAGACAGAGGCCAACAGAGAAAGGTAGTAAAAGAAACACTGAAAGAAAGACAGGCACACAAAGTGAGGGGAAACAAGAAGGAGAAAGAGAGAATAACAGAGAGAATTAAGAGAGAGAGGCACAAAGAAACAGAAAGAAGGAGAGAGCTGGGGAGAATCAGAGATACAGAGACAGGGGGAGATAGAGGGTAAAAGGGAGAGACAGAAAGAGATAAAAACGGGAAAGAGAGACAGTGAGACAGAGACACAGAGAGGGAGCAAGGGAGAAGAAACAGAAGGAGACACAGTGAGAATGGGAGAGAGAGAGAGGAAAGAGACAGAGAGTGAGTGAGAAAAAAAGAGAAGAAGAAACTGCAACCAACTCAAAGACAGCCTAACCTCAGGACCTCAGGATACCTATTACTTCTATGAAAAAATCTACTCTTTAGAAGACAGTGTCTAGTTTCAACCTACACAAAGCTGGATGTCAGGACATGGTGTTTACTGGGACCACCTGAGAGCCTACAGGCTGCCGACTGCACAGCTACACCATCTCTTGGGACTCTACTCCTAGTGAGATCTGAGATTTTAAAAAAGGGATTTCATAGGTTTTTTTAAAATGCATAACAGAACTAATGTAATCAAATTGTAATCAAATCAAAATGTAATCAAATTGGTCAGCTCATCTTTAATTAATGATTCTTCTGTCAGTCACCAAGTATTTTTTCTGATATTTCACCGCAAATAGATTTCTGTGACATTGTTTATGGCCTTGTAACTCATTCCTTCCTATATATTTAACTTGATGGCACTTATTGTTTAGAAATAACTCCTTTATCTTAAAATAAACTCATTCTAATAGTTTCTAGGAGAGAGTTATTTTTAAAATTAAATAAAATTTGACAGTATTAGCAGCAACTTTATAGAAATACAAAGCTGTGTAAAGAAATATTATGGACAAGTATACAACACAAATGAAATAGCCTAGATGAAACAAAGAACTTCCTAGAAACAAAGAAACCAAAAGAACTCATTTTTACTGTTTTCCTCCTTGAAGTCAATTCATTCCATATGCTTACTCGCCCTACCACCACATACACACACAGGGAAATAGTCTCACAGCACTAGGTGGAAACCTAGAGACCAGGGGAGGCTTATCACAAGGCAGGAGGAAACATGAGGGCCCAAGACATTTCAAGCCCTGGCATCCAGTCTCAGCCACCACCTCCCATGGACACCCTTTCCTGGAACCCAACTTCTCCAACAGCAATGACATGAATGCTGCCCACAGGATGATTCTTGGCTTCTGTGAACCCCTGGACAAAAGACAGACCTGCCTAACATCCTCATGTTTGGCTGAGGGATTGTTTCCTCTACAAATCAACGTGGTGATGCTAATCACCTGGAAAATTGGTCCTCAAGCAAATGCAGTATACAGAAACACTCACTCTCTCACCTTAACATCTAGCCACTTTATGCCACCTCAGTCTCATTCTTGAAGTATATGTCTTTCTTGACCCTTTCCCATGTGTGTAAATGTACCTTTCTGCCTGTCCAAGTCAGAGTCTGGTCACATGACCCACCATTGGCCCACATGACCCTGCAGTCAGCTTGTCTGCTACAGCTCTGCAGCTTGAATGACAGAATCTTCTGCCACTGGGTTTGAGTTGCTTCACGTTCTGACTCTGGTGAAGATGGAGAACTTAATATTTCTGAGCCTGGTGAAGACAGAGGGTTGAAATTAAGGCTGGATTAGGAGCCAAAGCCTCTAGCCCTATGCCTGGCCCTTCCTTCCTGAGAGTGTCTGGCCAGTGCATAAAAAATTTGGACATGAATTGATTTTTAGTATTTTGGATAGTTTGGGGGATACCTGTGAACAAACACATGATCGATCTTGAAAAAATATTGATAAACAAAACCAACATTTAAACTCTAGTTTCTACCAGGAGGATGATCCCTATTAATATTTGTGATTTGTAAAGGGAGGCAAGCTGTCTCCTATTTCCATTAATTTTCACATACTAGAATCAAGTGGGAAAAGTTATGTTGCACTGTCAAATGAATTTTGCGATATTTGAACAGTGTCTACATAAATTACTGGATGCTGTTTTGTTGCAACACTACTTTCTCTTGAATGAGCCATTTTTCAATTTTGCAGAGACTGATGATAACTTGCAGGTATTCTGTTAACTAAATATATAAACATCTGTCAACTGGCACAGATAATGTCAGATATTACAAATTATTGTACTGTAAGTTATTAACCACTTTTATTTGACTCACCAGTTATTCTATCAGTTAATTTCTGATGTATGAAATTGAATATATATTTAGTTTAAATCTTTGTTTTACATATTCCATACATAATTATCTCCTTTATTTTTTCCACATCAGTAGTTTTGTTGAGAAAAATCCTTCACATTCATTTTCAATTAACACAAATAATTATCTTTTTAAAAATTTACAGTATTCTGACAACAAATATTTTACTATATTTACAAATAGTAATATATTTAGATTCCCTCTCCAAACCAATTATATCTCTGACTTTTAAAATTCTCCCATCTGAATGTAAGGTGTAGTCTTTTTTATTGTAGCAAATATACATAACATAAAAATTACTATTTTAAATGCACAGTTCAATAACAAATACATTTTCAATATTGTGCAAAAGTCATCACTTTCCAGTTCAAGATTTTGTTGCCACCTAAATAAGAAACAGTATGATGGCTTTAATGCAACAATCATGAAAAAGTTAGTTTTGGATCAACAGACTAACATAAAATTAGCATCTAAAAATTGGTAACTTTTTCTTTAAAACATATTATTTTCCAAACTAGATTTTCTGAAATCTCATCTGTTTACAATGTTATTAAATCATTTCCTTTTAAAATTTTTTAATGCTGCTAGTTTATTCATTTATATAACTATGTCCTTTTCAGCATGGCTACCTATAAATCGAGGTGTATTAATTTTTCTATTTCCTGAATTGCTGTTTCTAAGAATTTGATGTGCATATTTTATTCCAGACTGTGGAAATATGAAAATACATGAGTTATATTGAAGTTGCATAAAATTTTTATTTATACAAAGTTTTAAAAATAAGATTTAATTTTCATATATGATGACATTCTTCTCTAGTCCACTGAATACACAATCACTAACACAGACTGGGACCTGTTGTCCCAGCCTATAATTTCAGCTATTTGTGTGGCAGTGATTAGGAGAATCTTAGTTTGGGACTAGCCTAACCAAAAGGTTAGTGAGATCCCACCTCAACAAAAAAGCTGGCCTTGGTAGAATTTCAGTCCAGGACAACATGAACAAAAAAGTACAGACCCAAAATGGAAAAATAACAAGAGCAAAAAGGGTAGGTAGGTGTATGACTCAAGAGGTAGAATATCTGCCTAACAAGCACAAAGCCCTAAATTCAAACCCCAGTATCACCAAAATAGAAAAAAATATAATCACTATCACAATTTTATGTCAATAAATCAATCCACATATAATTATTTCAAAGGCTGTGTGGTATTGTTGCAACATTTTCTTTAGACTAGGATCATAAGGAAATACTATTCCGGAGTCCATTTGCTTGGAGTCTTTTTTTCACCTTTTAGATGACACTAAAGAAACAGCTCTACTTTGATTTGGCTTACTTATTAATTCCTCCAAACTGATCTCATCCCAATTATCCAACTGAATCACTCACTAAACTCTTCCTGTTTATTTCAAGCATACTTGGTATATTCATACTACTAGACATATTTGCCAGTTTTTTCCTTCATACAACTATAGCTCGTTTCTAATAATGACTTGTCTCACCCTATCTCTCAATGACCAATTAAAGTGGGTCCTTCTTCAATCATTTCTTGAATATCACAGTCTACAATTATGTCTCCCTTCTTCAAATCCAAGAATGGGATTTCTAATAAGCATATGTTTTTCCTACTACTAATTATCTGTGCTTGGTTGTACAATGTGTCTGCACATGATTTTTAAAGTGAAGAAGGGTCATTTATGGCAACTTTAGCACTGGACTTTATTGAAAACACAGACCTGAGCAGAGGACCACATATTTAAAGAAAGAATAGCAGAGTAACTTGTTCAGATGACTCAGTTCACTGAAAGCTCAACACAAAAGTATCGCAATCTGGACAGCAAGATAAATACCAACAATGTGCTTTCAGTTCTAATATTCATCTGGCATCCACAAAATGACCCAGCTCAAAACAAGTTTGACAACTTAATAACATTAACATTAAAAATATAAGTTACAACATAAAAAGACTGTGAACACCAAAGTACAATTCAGGGCTCTTTGGAAACATAAGGCTGATCAGCAGGAGGTGGTTAAGCACACTAACTTTGTTGTCCCACCTCTGGATCATTTTGATTGTCTATTTGGATTTGTAGTTGCTTAGCTAACTCCTCAAATTCATGGAATGCAGAAATAAGTGGTTCAAGACTGAAATCATCATCAATTAAGGACATTGCTCCACTTTTTATAATATTACTGATGTTCTGAAACATTTTAATAACAATCTGAATGTTATCATTTGTCTCCTCTATGTTAAAGAGACCCACAAATATTGACAGAGCTTTGGCACTGAATAGCTTTTGTGCCACCATAGGATTTTCAGACAAATTCAGTAGCATTTTTAGAATATGAAATTTGGTTCTTGCATTGCCTGTGGTTAACAAAGAGAGGAATCCAGACACATAATTACCAATCAGTGTGTGATAGTCAGCAGTCACAGTGAGGTGTCTAAGCATCCTTATTCCAGTCAGCTGCTCAAGGGAATCTATGCCATGAGCAAGGGTTTCCTCACATACTTGACATATGAATGTCTCAATCATGTTCAGATTTGGATAAGGTGGGGCCATGTGAATCATGTTTTCCAAAAAACTTGTCCTAGCTCGGGAAGATGGATAATTTAGCAAGGTTTCAATAAGTGAGACTACACCAGAATCCCGAATGAAATCGCGAGTAAATTGAGAAGCACTTCTCATACCCATTGCAATTTTAGATATTTCATGAATAAATGGGTCCCTAATTTTGTCCATTAGTAAGAGGAGTTCTTCAAACTCCCCAGAATCAATATTAAGCTCACATTGTATGCAGTTGCAGGACCAATTTTCAAGTTCTGCACTCTCTCTGGCCTTAAGATGCTCTCGTATTTCCCGGACTGACCGATAGGAAGGATCATACTGAAATGGAAACTCAGATTCAAACTGATCAAGTTGAAACAAAGATTCCTGCTCTTCCCCTTCTGGAATAAGTCCCAAATTATTGAGCTTTTCTTCAGTATTTTCAGACAACTCTGGAAATGTAAATGGGTTTGTGGATGGGAAACCAACCCCATGACAAGGACCAGGTTTGAATTCAACAGTGACTTCTTCCCAGGTTTGGGGCCTAGATGACACATTAACTTCCTCCTCAGCTGAATGAATGAATCTGCAATGGGCTTTGTACACAGGACTTGGATTTAGGTCAAAACAGGCCTCATCTCTATCCCAGAACCAGGACCCAAATATGGCATCTTCTTCAGACTCAGGCCTGGGTTCTTCTCTAGCCACTGCCCCCAAACTAGACTTTTCCTCAGCCCAGAACAAAGATCCACCAATAGCTCCTTCCTCCACCTCTGGTTCAGGGTCACAGATTGCTGAAGATCCATTCTCTAAACCACCCTCTTTTTCTGCCCAGAACCAGGACCCAATAATGACTTCCTCTTCAAACCTGGACTCTTGTTTAGCCCTGTTAACATTTTTAATCTCTTTCTGGGCCCTGGATTTCAACATGTCATTAGGCTCATCCGTGCTCCTGTGCCTCAATCTATTGGCCTCTTCTCCAGGCAAAAACCATGATTCTTTATAGAACTCATCTTCAGACTCGGATTCAAAGCAGTCATCTCTTTTTGTTCTCAGCTTAGACCTGGTATTTGCCTCTTCCCTGACTCTGGGCCTCAGCAAGTTATTGGTAGTTTCTCCAGCCCAAAAGCAGAAAGGGTTACCAGTCTCATCCTCAGATCCAGACCAGGAATAAACATAAGGCTCTTGTTTCGATTTGGGCCTGGCTCTGGTGTTGGTTTGATGTTTAGCCCTGTGCCTGGACCTAGTATTGGCCTCTTCCCTGGGCCATGATCTGATATTGTTCTCTTCTCCAGCCCAGAAAGAAGAAACAGTAGAGGTCTCATCAGCTGACCAAAACCCAGACTCACTAGAGGCTTCTTCTCTGGCTCTGGGCCTGGGATAGCACCAAGACCCCATATTGGTCTCCTCCCCTGGTCCAAACCAGGGTTGTATTACAGTCTGGCCCTGGGTGCCAGGAAAAGTTTCAGTGTCCACATTGGCTAGTTCTCTATCCATAGGGAAGCTCTTACATTTAGTAACTGACCCAGACTCACCACTGACCAGTGGCCAAGTAACACTATTAGTTTGGGATGTTCCTTCAGCTTGTGACATTGCCTCAGCTCCAAACTCGCTCTGGGCCCATGCTTGGGCATCATCCTTAGGCCTTGCCCCAGGGATTGGCTTAGCCTCAGTCTTAGGATATGCACAACCTATTGCCCTGGCATCTGCTTTGGGCCTTGCCCCAGTCATTGTCAGGGCTTCAGTTTTGGGTCTTGCTCCAGACATTGCCTGGGTCTCAGATTTGGGCCTTGTCCCAGGCACAGATATGACTTCAGTTTTGGGCCTTGCCCGGGATGTTACTCGGGTCTGGGTCCTAACTTTGGGTCTGACCACAAGTGGGACTTCATTATCTCGATCAGCCCCACCCACAATCTCTTCCCCAGCCTTCTTTTCAGGCTTGGCCTGAACAACAGGGTCAATCTCAGCCCCAGTCATTGTACAAATTGAAGGGACGCTTAATTAAATATGTGTGCCACAGTCAGTCTTCACGAAAGATCTGTCACAGATTTATCTCTTCACACTCTGATCTGTTGATGATGTAGGAGTTAAGAGTAAATCATCAATCCAACAATAAATGATGATCCTACCAAGCACAGTCTGAGTCAATAATATACAGAAGAGGCACAACCAGGCTGGGAGAGGATGGATGGTTCCTGGCTGGAGAGGGACAGAGAAGTTGAAGGTGGTTATCGGAAGAAACTCCAGCACCACCACAGCTGCAACTACAGATGGATCTAGGAAGAAAGAATGAAACCAGGAATGCAAGTTCATAAAATTGTGAGGCTTCATGTAAGTTTATACAAAGAAACTAGTTATGACCACTAGGTGGAGCAACGGAGCTACAGAAAAAAAACACAACTCCACTCCATTTGCCTACTAGACTATACTGCTGGCAATGGAGAGGCACAGGAAGTACCAAATCAAACCACATTCACTCAGACTTTTAGACTAGTGGCTGATCTCCACTACACCCGCCAAAAAGTGAATCCACTTCCCATACCAACCTTCACTGACGTGATACAACTTCCACTCTTCTGAGTTCAAATGATGCTAAGCCCCACAACTGACTAGAGGGAAGAGAGTCCTGTTAACAAACAAATAGAACACAATGAAGTCTCAGTGCTTCATAACTAGGTACACACACCTTAATGATTAAGACAAGTATCTTTCTTCTGGTTGAAGGATCCAAATTGTCTATAGTTTCCCACACCATAGTTTCAATTGTCAGCTTTTTCTGGTCACACTTGACTCTAAACTCCCTCAATATTCACAAAATCTCTGGCAGAAAACAGACAAGAAATGCTACAGCAACAAACAATTTTAGCAGACTGTACAGGTAGAAGTAATCTTGCAAGCACAGGAATCACAGCCACTTGCCTGTTGGTCTTCAGTAGCTTGCCCTACACAGTCCCCTTCCTCACCAGTCTCCAGATATTTGAGCCAGTCTCCTGGTCTGTTCTTTTCTTGCAGAACTGACCAGCCCCTAAAGCAGGCCTATAGACAAACAGATTAAAAAGGTGATGCAATGAGGAAAGGATGGTAGCAGCTGAGCCCAGTAGACAGAGCAACACGGGCCAAGGAGAGGAGTTGCCATCTGATCTGTCATTAAACATTTCAGATTCTGCTTGTGGAATGAGCCTGTTTTTCTTTGGCCCCTGCTGCAGGGCTGCAGAGGTAAGAGAACCTCTTGACTCGTGACATCATGCACCTGCCATCAATGCCTTGTCCAATTCTGAGGATTCACCACTAGGTGCGCCACATCCCCTTCCTCTGCGCAGCAGAAAATGGGGGAAGGGCACCACATATTCTAGAAAACAGGTTCTGAAGTGATCCTGGTATTGACGACTGCCATCATCACCTCCCAAATCCCATATTCCCAGACTCCCAACTTGGAATGGTAGGGGATAAAGGCAGGGAAGTATGTAGAAGGAGGTAAGGGGGAAGATTAGATAGGAGGTATTACTGGATGCCCACCTGCTCAGATTAGAGTCCACCCACCCCTGGCAGGTTTCAGGCTAGCCCCGATGCCCACCCTCCATCCCCACGCACCTCCAGAATCCCAGACTGTTTTCTGCTCCTCTTTTTTCTTAAGCCTCTCCTTGACAGATGCCCTCGCAGAATATGTCAGACCTACAACGCAGAAGACTTTGACACCAAAACTAAGCCTGTAGGAATGGACAGCACCCAAGGAACCAGACCCCAACAGGCTCCTTTTCTGAACCAAGGCCAGAGTGGGGAAGGGCATCCTCCTCCCACCAGTTGGGCTGGACCTAAGCACAGAAGCCTGCACACCACCCCCCGCGATCCCCCAGGACACCCCAAGACCCCATCTCCCTCTGACATTTCTCCCTCACACACCCCCTCCCACCAAAGCACAGCCTTCCCAAGGCATAACCAACGTCCAGGGGTGAGATACGGGCGCTTTGGAAGTTGGCTGGGAGGAGGTCAGCTGACTGGCCTTCAGACCATCCTAGAAATGCTGTGGCCTCCCACTCAGCCCCGGGCCCGCCAGACCCCCGCGGGTCACCGTCTTCGGGTCCCCAGGGATTCCGGACTCTGCACACCTCTCTGGAGGATCCTCTGGGCCAGCTTGCCTCCTCAGCGTCCAACTGTCAAGGTCTGGGGAAGAAGCTGTCAGCCTGTCAACAAGGGGAGACCCACCCCGTTCCCTCCGCACACCCTCACTTGCCTTCGCGGGCTCAGGGCCCAGGGAGTCAGGCCCCCCTCCACTCCGGCGCTCCCCCTCCACTCAGGCGCCTTCCTCTCTTCTCTCAGCAGCTGCTCTGTGGGACTCCCACTGCTTTCCCGAGGAGCCCAAGCGCAAAGAGGCAGCCAGTCCCCAAGCCTCTGCAGCAAGGCCGGCAGGGGCTGCGCAGGATGCGGCAAGAACCGCTAGCTCCGAGGGTTTCGGGAAGGGGGGCGGAGGGATACGGCCGCGTCAGTGCTGGACGCCCCCTCCCAGGCCCACCGTAGTTCCGACCCGGGGTGGGCGGGGCCTGCACCAGCCCCACTCTCAGGGGCGGGCTCCCGCCACTCGCCCTGCCTCCCTGCACCCTGCACACCCTGACGTGGCGACTTCCACCACTTCCCTGCCTCTGTCTGCTAGGCTTCCCGGTGCTGTGCTCGCTGAGGGCTAGGGGCTGTGGCGGCTGGGGAAGCGGTATCCGCAGGTCGGGAATCGCTGCGCTGGAAGGAGCAGCGGATGGATACCAAAGCCTCCCCTTGGTGCTTTGCACCCCAGACTGCGCAGTGCCTCTCCCCTTCTCCCTTCTCCCCCCTCCCCTCGCCAGTCTCCGTGTCCCTCCTCCTTCCTGTAGGAGGGGGAAAAAGGGGTCTGGACTGCAGACAGATGGGGAGGAAACATGTGACATCAAGACATAGCAACAAGCAGTGTGGACAAGGGGCCTCTAGGAGGCTCTGCCATGTTTTGCTTTGCTTGCTTCATACAGCCATGAAGCAAAGCAAGGCATTTCTGCCTTTAAGGGAACAGAGGTGAGGGCTCCCATCACAGGCCTCATCACTGCTCCTTTCCCAAAGCAAGACTGGCCTACTACACCTCTAGCCCTAGGAAAACAGCTGCTGGTTTAGGCCTTTCCACCAGAGAACTCCATTGGTCATTCAGCTGACTCCACAATTGCTCAACAAAGAAGGCCTTTCTCTCTCACCAGACACAGGGGGTCCTGTAGCCTGGCATCTTTTCACCCACTGTCATGTGTCAGGCCTGTTCTGGCTTCTTGACTAGTGTTTTCTGTCAAAGCTTGTCTTGTCAGTGGGGTCCAAACCCCTCATCATATTTGGCAGTGTGGAACTGTGGCAAGCATTTAGCCAGTGTGTGTCTCAATTGTAAACACCTGTCTTTTTTAGGGGAAGAATCCATTTCCTCAACACAGGAACATGGCTAGTTTTGAGTCCTCTGCTTTTATTCTTACCTACATCCTCCCTCCAATCTTGAACCTCCCCTTTCCCTGCTTGTTATAGGGAACCAGTGGAGCAATGGGGTTAAGCTCAAACTCGATATGGTTTGTACTGTGCATTTTAATTTTTTTAATTTATTTTGATTTTATTGTAAAGGTGACATAGAAAGGGGTTACAGTCACATAAGTAAGATAATGAGTACATTTCTTGTCAAACATTGTTACCCCTTTCTCATTTTTCTCCCATTTCCCTTCTCCCTGACTCCCCTCCCCCCCCACACCAAACTGCAATGTTCATTTTCAACATACCGTCTTGTGAGTATCGCTGTTCCCTTGCATCCTTTGTCTCAACATTTTGTTATTCCCCTTTCCTTCCCCAATCAGATAAACATATATACAAGTCACAGTGTACCAAAATAAAAAACAGTGGCAACAGGGGATAATCCAAAGGCAAAAAAAAAAACCCGGAAAAAATAATGTTACAGTGTACATTTAAAAAGCCCACAAACCCCTATTTCCATATCTTGGAGTTTATTTCAATTAGCATCATTTTTCATAACTATTTTGATCCTCTTTGCATAGACATATACTAATTATTACAAATAAAGGAAACCATGGAGCCTATGTTTCTTTGGGTCTTACTTCGGTTAATATGATTTTTTCCATGTCTTTCCATTTCCTTACAAATGTGGCAATGTCATTATTTCTGATGCAAGCATAGAATTCTACTGTGTATATATACCACATTTTCTTGATCCATTCATCTACTGAGGGGCATTTGGATTGGTTCTGTATCTTAGCTATGGTAAATAATGCTGCAATGAACATAGTTGTGCTCGTAGCTTTAGTATGGCTTTGTTTGTGATCCTTTAGGTAAATGCCCAAAAGTGGGATTGCTGGGTCATAGGAGAGCTCTATGTGGAGTCTTTTGAGGAACCTCCATACTACTTTCTAAAGTGGTTGAACAAGTTTACACTCCCATCAACAATGCAACAGTTGGTCACATCCCCTCCAGCATCTGTTGTTATTACATTTCTTTATTATAGCCATTCTAACTGGGGTGAGGTGGAATCTCAATGTTATTTTGATTTGCATTTCTTTTATGGCTAGAGAAGTTGAGCATTTCTTCATGTGTCTACTGGCCATTCTTGTTTCCTCTTCAGAGAAGTCACTTATTAATGGGGTGATTGTTCCTTTGAGAATTTGTTTTGGGGTAACAATTTTTTTTGAGTTCTAAGTATATTTTAGATATGAGACCCTTGTCTGTTGTATAGCTAGTGAAGATCTTCTCCCATTCTGGGGGCTTGCTATTTATCTTTTTAGTTATTTATATTTGCTTATTTATTTGTCATGTTGGGGAACTAACCCAGGTCCTCACAAATGCTAGCTCAACCACAGAACCTACCTCCATTCTGGTTATTCTTAGGATACTGGAATAGTTTACTAGTGTTATTTTTTATTTTTTAATTCATTGTAAAGGTGATAAACAGGGAGGTTACAGTTACATATGTAAGGTAACTAGTACACTTCTTTTTAAACAGTTACCCTCTCCCTCATTTTCTCACTCTTACTTCTCCACTTCCCTACCTCCTCAAGTTGTAAAGTTCATTTCCAACATAGCATCTAGTGAGTATATTTGTTGCATTAGTTCACCCTTTGTCCTGCTGTTTCTGTGATTGATTCCCTTTCCCTTTCATAGATCAGATAAGCTTATGTACAAAACAAAGGGTATACACAACTAAAACATATGTCCTGCATACAGGACATAATAAGAACCTCTTGTTTACAATTCTTGGAGTTCATTTTGATATGCTTCATTATATATGGTCCTAAGCACTTAGCAATTGGGTTATTGTGATCCCCTGCTAAGAATATCATATATTGTAGTTATTACAAATGAGGGAGACTATGAAACCTATATTTCTTTGAGCCTGGCTTGCTTCACTTAATATAATTATTTTCAGGTCTTTCCATTTCCTTATGAATGGGGCAATACCATTCTTTCTGATGGAATCGTTTTCTTTTTATCTTGCTAGCTATATCCTTTACAATGCAGATGTACTGTGCATTTTAAATCTCATGTAAACACCTCTCTCTTGTTTGGCAGATTAATGACCTCCTCAAACATGTCCATACTCAATTCTCTGCAACACCTGAATACATTATATCTGCCCAAAGTTGTACCAATGGAACTGTTTGCTATTCATTTGCTACTCTGTTTGCTTCAAAGTTATTTTGGATTATCTTGCTCAGTGTACTTGCAAGGGTAATTTAGATATGGCAGAGGGAGGCACCCTGAGCAAGACCAGATACACACTCATTGGTTTTGACAATGTGAAAACCCAGGAGCCACAAAAGGATGTTGTGTCTCTCCAAAGTGTACATGACATATTCTACACCCTAGAAGCCCTAGGGCAAAGTTGTTCTCACAACAGCTTGGTTTTAGTTTAATGAGACTTTTATTGAGTTTCCAGTCTTCAGATAAAAAGATAATAAATTCTGTGTATTTTATGCTACTACATCTGAAATTCCTTTGTATTACAGGTTCCATGTCTGTGAATTTGAGCACATTTGGATAGAAAAAATCTTTTAAAAATCCTCTTTTGGGGCTGGGAAGGTGGCTCAGTGGTAGAGCGCTTGCCTTGTATGCATGAGGCCCTGGGTTTGATTCCTCAGCACCACATAAGCAAAATGTGGTGCTGTGGCTCAAGTGGTAGAGTGCTAGCCTTGAGCTGAAGAGCTGAGGGACAGCACCCAGGCCCAGAGTTCAGGCCCCACGACCGGACCCCCAAAAAATCCTCTTTTGCTTTGAAAACATTTCAATTATCAATATTCACTGAAAATTTTAGTATAATGATAGCATATCATTTACATTGTATTAGGTATTACAGTTAATGTGGACAATATTTCGGTTTTATTCATATGTTGTGTAGAACTTCTATTTTATGTAAAGATGTTATGATTTTTAGTTTTGTTCCAAGGAGTTTCTGGAACTACTCTCCTATAGATATTGATGGAGAATTTTTTGGTAATAGTATGAAACTAATACTTTCATCATCCTAGTGCTGTTTATTCCCTTGACTTCCTTTACCTGTGCCTTGGTCTGTAGGTTTATGTTTTGGAATCATTTCTTGCCACTATAACCATCCATTCCTTCAGTTTCCTTCTGTCTTTTTTTATTAAAAAAGATTTATTTTTTGTGAATGTCCATAGGCTTATCTTGAAAGATAACCCTTTTGCCTAAAACCACTTATATGTCCCTGAATGTAAAGGGAAGCCCATTTTCTCCATAGCTTTGTGTATATTTCTATATCAGCTTTTATTTATGATCAGATATTTACTATATCTGTATAATCTTTAGAAGATG